ATTATAAAGTGATTTTGGTCCAACAGGTGGTGTCTTTTGACCGTACTGAGGCAGCAGTGAAGCCCAGTTTGGCTCTGATGAATCTAAAGTACTTGACATTCCCCCAATTTTCTTTCGTGCCTCATTTGCAAATACACTAGCAGTGACAGCCTTGTGAACAGCACTGGTAAGCTCATCTGGTTTTGTAGCATCGACTTGACGAATAATGAGACGTTGACTGCTCTGACTTTTAAGAGATTCATTGAATATATCAATCATTTTATCAGTACTACTGCGATTGATGTAAGCAAACCAATATTGAATGTCAAGACGAACAACTTCAGCCATCATAGATTCATGAGTAATGCCAGCTGGATCACCATTGGGATAAGTATCATCTCCACTATGATATTGAGTACCATGACAAGGAGCATCAGCAATATGCATTAGAACCTATAGTAAAAAGTATTAATAATTACTAATGACAAATCAGCTTAAACCTGGAGATAGAAATCAGGTCTATCTCTGCAACAATTGTATGCTAACCACAGAACCCATACAACAGCCACAAACCAGGTTTTAAGCCAAAATAGTGATTTGATAATGCTTTGAAGTTGCTGCACGAATGGCTACATTTTAATTCTGCATTGCATTTGCAGCAGCGATAAACCTTGCTTCAATACCTTAGTTGCTGATGGGCGCCAGCTAAGACTAGTAGAGAATGTAATTTTAAGAGCTCCCATTATATCTTCGGTGTATCACCACCTCCACTTGCTTTAATAGGATCCACAAAATTATGGAACTGAGAAAGAGACCTAATAATGAAGATGGCAATTCACAAGGCATGCACATCACTTAATTACTAGCTAAGCTAACTTTGTAAAGTTGATCCATGTTGTTCTGGTTGATGTAGGTTGATCATAGTCAGTGTATCGGACAAATGAGAATCTTATGTCACATCCTTTATAGTGTTGTTCTAACCCATCTCTAACATTCTTTACATTAGTCTTAACACTTTCAATCCAACTTCCCATTGATCCAGTACAATCCATCACAAAACATATATCAATCTATAAATGAAATGTTTTAGTGTACTTGATCAAAACTAGAAATCAAAGCTCACTTCAGGTGCTGTTATGTTGACAACAATTCCAATCTTCATGATAAAGACAGTGTCTTCCTTGTTAATTCCACAATCCTTAAGAGTCCTTCGTTTACCATGAAGACACTCTTCAACTGGTTTCTCTTTAAAATGAAACTGATAATCCACCAATGACTGCTTCATGTGCTGTTCAGCAAGAGCCTTAAGATCAGTAATACTATAAGACTGAAGGAGAAATTATAATAATTCTGTATTTATCATTAGTACCTGTGGTTCACTAGAGGGTATTTCAATTGTATAAGTCTTTCCAGATTCATTAGGGTCTTGTACATAAAGGTTCCAAGGAGCACTCATAACAATGATCAGTGTAGTGCCTGACGTAATACTTGGGTAGCTGGACAGGGTTCTTTCATCTGACAGAAGAGTCCCAGAGCCTCCTCTAGAGTCAATGAATAGCTTCTGTCTATGTGGTGGACAATCAGCTTGTCTGGAATGAAATAATCTTTTAGCATCTAGTACAGATGGCATCCTATAAATGATGCATTTATAGACACTAGACTACAGTACACTA